GACTTCTGTTAAAAACCGCAAGTCCAATTGCTTTGATATTACATACATAGGTACTAAATGTGGACCTCTTTCAGATGTGTTCATTTTGTAATGATATTTTTAATTCTCTAATTTTGGTGAATATTTTTGTAATTTTTGGTAAAAAGTGATATTTTTGACTTCTTGTTAAAAACCACAAGTCCGATTGCTTTTATATTACATTTATAGGTACTACATGTGGACCTCTCTCAGATTTGTTCATTTTGTAATGATATCTTTAATTCTCTAATTTTGATGAAATATTTTTGGTAAAAAGTGATATTTTTGACTTCTTGTTGAAAACCGCAAGTCTGATTGCTTTAAATTACATATATAGGTACTACATGTGGAACTATTTCAGATTTGTTAATTTCGTGGTGATATCTTCAACTATTTAATTTTGATGATTATTTTTGGTAAAAAGTGATATTTTTGAATTCTTGTTGAAAACAGCAAGTCCTGTTGCTTTTGATACCATACATATTGTTCATTTCCTAATGATATCTTCTGTTCTTTAATTGTAATGTGCATTGCTAACAGCGGAGCTATCTCAGCCGAGAGGCTGCTTGTTTTACTACCGAAGTGGTTTAAATTTCTGGAGAGTACACTGCATGATCTTTACCATTCCAAGTAGATACATACCTAATATTTAACGCATTGTTGTTATTTGCAGATTTAAGACTCAAGTTTATGACAGCTCTTATGTTTTGTGTTGTTACGATCAGGTGAGTGAATACAATTACTGCTGTCATTATTTTTTAGTTTGTTTTTTATTTTTGCCAAGTTTACATATATTTTGTTGATATTGTTTGGTTCTGGAGGGGTGAATTTTGAACTGTTGGGTCAAATATTTTGAATAAAATGGTCCTTAACATTTTCACCACCAGTTCCCCCTTTTAATCACATAACAGTCTCGCTTATAGTCTGCACTTTCCTTCAAATATTGGAACAAAAATAGCCAAATTTATAGAGTAAAAACTGAAAATTGATCCAAATTTTTTTTTTGGCTTCAAAATTTAGGTTTATTTCCAGAAATATTGAAAAATATAAGAAGAAAAGTGCAAAAAAATCTGGTGGTGAAAAGGTTAAAGAACAGTTTTCATAGAACAAAACAGTGATTATGATTTATGAGGAAATGTCTTTGCAATATAATGTTTTAAGTAAAAGATTTTACTTTTTGATTAGACTTCACAGTGCTCCTGATGTTAATCGTTGTGTGTGTTTTATTCCAGTGTAACAATAATGGCACTCAGATTTGGTACTGGTGTGTTGGATCCTAACTTTGTTCCAGAGTTAGCAACACGATATCAAAATTATATCCTTTTATCGTCAAAACATTTATTGTGCATTACAGCCATTATTAGTGCACTCTGCATTATTTAAAAATAAAGACAATATGGTCTACATAGCACATGGTACACTAGTGTGTTGATATGCTTGGAAGACGGTTCAAACACACTTCAAGGCTTACGAATCTATAATAATACTTTATTTCAAGACAGCTCTGTTTAACAGAATTACGGTACACATAAAATGAATCAAAAGTAAAAGTAAAAAGCAGCTCTTGATTTGTGAAGCAAAATACTGAACATGAAAGTATGATTCAGAACGACTGGTTCAGACATGCTCATGTTATGACATAGACATAGTAAA